CCATTAGCAAGTTGCTGTAGGCAATGTCACAGTCGTAAATCAAGAGATCTGGTTTCCAACAGGAGATTAAAATCCTCCTTGGAGCTCTGCACCTTCACTCTCCTCTGTCCTCAACACAGAGATGGTTGGCTGCACTGATCTCATGGACGGAAGTGACATTTACCCTCAAAATCACCTTCCTTTCCTCTCCATTCTCCTCTCAGAGCTTATGGAGTTTCCTTTAATCACAGGAAGTTGTGTCATGCTCACTCTGCTTTTAAGTTAAAAACAAAGAGGTTTAGAAAATGTGAGATTATGCTTCAAACTATCATGCTGTTCATTGATGACATTCCTGGAAAACCATCCAGAACATTCATTTAATAACCCTACACTGAGAACCAGTATTTATCCAATTCCGAAAGGCAGTAAGTCTTCATCCGGGTTATGCCTTGGAGTCACCTGGGACATTTTTTAAAATATTGACGCCAGTTCTTCTAACCTGAAGATTCTGATACAATTTGAGATCACTCCTGGGTGGCTCCTTAAAAACACAAATTCCATGGTTCCTACACAGGGTCTTTCCCTCCTCCTGAAATTTTGTTTTCTGGAGGAGAAGGGTGGATCCCAGAAATAAGTATATTAATAAACACCTCAGATAGGTCATCAGTATACTTTTGAGTATCAAAGGGATGGGTGACAAGGAATTGTAGGGCAGCTGAGAAGGGATGAGTGAGAGGGTATGATCATTTGAGACACGAAATCTCTGCACGACTATTACACGGTGAAAACAATGGCATAAGCGTACATCGTAGGCCCCAGAGAACTAAGTAAAAGTAGACTGTGCTTCCCATGGACAACAGAAATAAATGGCAAATCTGGAATCCAGACCCAGAAATTCTAACTTCTATGTCGTTTCTCTCTGTACTGTCTCCATCATTTTCTGTATTTTTAAATATGTCATAAAATGTTTAGAATGGAAATATTTCACTAAACTTAAAGCAACCTTAAACATTATTGTAAATCGTGCACCCTGCTTAAAAGACAGTAATTCCAAAATGAGATAAATAACTTCACTCTTTGACATTACTCAATAAAAATCATTTTATAAGCCCCACCCTTGCCAGTTTGCTCCTCCAGGATCCAGTAGCTACAATGTGGAGGAGATTTTTATGGGGGATGACCAATTAAAATGGTTTCTTAAGCCAGGTTGGAAGAATTGCTTTTTATGTTAAAAATATTCCATTACTTTCTGATGTAACTGATTATTTCTGACTGACTGAATAGGATTATTTTCCACAAGCAAACTGTTTCATTTTAAAGGAATAACTATTTACAGCCATTTGTAAAGGGTTTTTTGCCTAAAGAAACATACATGAAACAACACAACCAAATTGAAAACAAGCCCAAACTCTGGCTAAAATACAAACAGTGGAAAACTCGGATACATAAAGGCATGTTGCAACTCAGCATGAAACCAGTTCAAAAGCAGACCCTGGAACAAACCAGCCCATTCCCAGGATAGAACCATAGGAAATACTACAAATGCGTAAATTTGCCCTGTTTTCTCTTAATGTTATTTTTGAATTTATTTTTTCTAGATTAACCTATTTGCTTCTCCCCTGAAAAATAAAATAAAATGTGGAGGTGCTTTCATTAAAAGTTAATGAATATACAGCCGTTGCATACTATGTTCATGTATAGATAAGGAAAAACAGCTACAAAGTTTCCTATTGGGCCTTTCTACAAGAGTTTTGATTTCAATGCGTGCATGTTATTTTAAGGCACTTTAATCAAATTTCCATACACTTCTTTTAAGCGTGACAGAAACTGCTACTTGAGGCAAATTTTAAAAAACAAAAAAGAAAGGTGACATTAGCCTTTTAATTTCATTCTCTCCTTTAACCCTTTAATTTATTCCCCAGGCTAAATAGAACCTCCCTAATTTTAACTCGGGAGCCTGAAGTCTTTAATACAGTATATTCTCTCTAGCTTTACTTTTATTCCTGGGCACAATTTCCGAGAGGCAGACCGCTTGCTCATTTTGGGGACATCATAAAGCAGTGGTTCCCAAACTTATTTGGCCTACCGCCCCCTTTCCAGAAAAAATATTACTCAGCCCCTGGAAATTAATTTTTTTTAAATTTTAATAGCAGTTACTCATCGCCCCCAAATGCACCTGTGGCCATCACCGCCCCCCTGGATCGCTGCAGCGCCTACCAGGGGGCGGTAGCGCCCACTTTGGGAATCACTGTCATAAAGGCAGACAAGATACTTCCTTTGCTGATATCTTCACCTGTAAAGCATTAAGCTAAAGATATTAATTTGCTCTGCCCAGCACACTTGTAAAGGGAGTTTAGCTGCAAATGAAACTTCCCTCATTTTGCATCTTGATCTTTGTGTAAATGGCCTTTTAGTTTTATTATGCTTTTTCCTAAAGGGAAATAAAAAGACAGCCACTTGGCGAAGAGGTGATCTATCCATCAGTTAAATGTTCCCTGGCTTAACTTAGTAGTTACTAAGGTAGGGTAGCTCTTCCCATCTCTTTGACTTTGTCACTTATCAAGACTTCATTCAGTTCAAATGCATCTTCCCAGGCTCAGGGAGCACACATGTCCACAGCTGTCTTTCCCAAACCTGCATCTAGGCTCTGAGGAGCTTTACCGTTTTTGCTCTTATTAGCACAGCACACTCACAAAGTTAAGATTTTGATCTAGTGATACAGGTGCCTGGCCTAAAAGTCATAGTACAGTAAGCAAGTGCAACAAAAACGTGGCCATGCTCTGCTTGATTCTGCCACAGGGTGGATCCCACTCCCCAGAAACGGTGATTGCCTCGTGAGGTCATTTCCCAAGCAAAGCCATCCCTTGCCCACTCATCATAAACCAGAGAAAAGAGATTCTTTAAATAGCTCCATCAAGTCAAGGTGAGAGGACCCTGGGAGAGTTCCCATGAAGAGTCATATTTGCTCATAAAAATGTGATTTCCACAGCCGGGGGGCGGGGGGGGGGGGGGACTCTTTTTGGAAACACAGTCTGGACAATACCTGGCAGCCTTGCTTCTAAAATCCCCCTGCCCGCCTCCCTCCCCTCCCCCCAGCACTGTAACCACCAACCTGGCAACAGCTCTCCTGACAGGTCACCATGCATGCATCTCCTTGGGGGGCAGGAGGGGCAGGGGTTTGCAGGGAGTGAAATTTATAGCAGCAAATTCATCTTTTTTATTTACTCATTAACAGTCAACCTCTCTCACACACAGATATAAAAGAACAAGATCCCTTCTCTCCCCTACAACTGGAGTGAGGAGAAGTATCTCCTACTTGTTCCCTTTCCCTCACAAACAGAGACAGGGGAGTGAGCCACAAAGACATTTATTTCCATCAGTCACTTGTGCCCATTTGCTGGCCACAGCGCGGTCCTTCTTGGAACACCGACAGCAATTTTGTCTCTCCAACTGTTATAGACTCATAGGCTCACATCAATGTGTGAGAACATTTCCAATTCACATTTCATCACGCACCCAGGTCCCAGTGCTTCCCCCCTCTAGCAGCTCACTTAATAGTTTTCTGAATAATCGTTTCCGCTGGTGTGTGAATTGTTACCTGACTATCCTTCAGATAGTCCCCTCCCTTCTCAGATACTGTTTAACACTTCCTGGCCCTTTTCTTTACCACCCACCTCAGCCCCTTATCCTTTGGAAACAGCTCCCTGGCGGCAACCTACTCTGTTCCTCTCACCCCAGGCTTCTCTTGAACATTCTCTGAAGCTGTGGTCCCCAACCCCTGAGACCATGCCACAGAGATGGCCAGGCCTTCTGCCAACCCAGGTGAGTAGCCTATTTGCATCAAGTACTTATTGGTTCACAAATGAAAGTAATTTTCTACGGAGGCAGCAAGAAGCGAATTTCCCCCCTATAGTCAAGGGAAATGAGTCCCTCTCCTTTGAACCTGAACACGGGGGACCTTTGCACTCAGAAATCTCAGACCAAGATCCTTGGCAATTCTTTCCCTCTATCACAGTCAAAATTAGTGGGCACCACTTGAAATTCCAGGGCTTGCCATATAGAGGGAATTCGGTAAGAATCATCTCCATTAAGGGAAAATCTAAAGTCACAGGGTTCCATGTTACACAAGTCTCGTTCTTGTTTTGTTTCCCTTGTCAGTTTCTACTCACAACTGAAAGGCAGCCCTCTGGCATTACTACATCTAGGAAGCTCCCAGTTAACCCCTCCCTGTCCCTCAGACTTTTGTGGACTGTAAGCCTCGTCTGAGTCCAGGCTCGGATGGCATGCTCAAGCCTCCTGCCCGTGGGACCTGGGGGCAGCAGACCAGGGTCTGCCTGAACGACAGAGATACAGCTGGGTTTTCAACACTCAGCTAACCAGCTTGTAGACATCCACCTCAAGGGAAGGACGGCACCAACAAGACACAAAATTAAGCCCTTGGATCATCCAAGCTTGCCTCTCTCTTTCCAACTTCATCAGAATGACACAAAATGCCCCACTCAGCCAAAACCTCAGCCTGTGCCAGCACCTGAGAACAATTCCAGCTCCCTCCCCGCCCAAGGCTGCTGACTCTTCAAACAGGAATGGGAGACTCCAAGGCCCCGCCGTGCCAGAAACCAGCAGACATCGGCCGAGGTAATGCTATGCTCCAGGTGCCTGCTTCCTGGGGTCCGGTTCACTCGTGCTGCCCGTGCCCCTACAGCAAAGTTCACATGAGTCCAGAAAAGTCACACTCAGACATATCTCCCCGTGAAGTCCAAGGCAAGCCACTAGCTGCAGTCACCTATGTTCTCATTGATGGCACTTGACCTTCTACTCCAGAGCTGACTGGCTCTCCAAATCTGAAGAACACACAGATATCAGTGTCTCTGAAAATCTGTTCAGTAACATGGCTTCTCGCTGAAGATTCAGTCTGCTCCCAGAGTCAATAATCCTTTCACCTCTGGCCCAAGGTATGGTGGCGTATATCTTTGCAAGACCTCTGTATTCGAGAGCCCAGGACAGGATGGGACATTACTTACCCCAGATCAGGAGAGGAAACCCCAGTATCCAGCTCCGACCTTCTTGGTTAGATCTCCCAGCGGCCCCACCCTGACTATAAATGGAGAGGGTGCTGGGTGTGTCCTGGTAATTTACAACAGGTGTGGGGAGGACTGGGATTGCCTCAGAGAAACACCAGGCACACAGAGGGGAACCATAAGCAGTAGGGCTTGTTTTCAAACCCTAGTGTACATAAGCATCACCTGGGAATAGCTGGAACATGTATTTCTAGGCTGCAGTCACCAAGATTCTGTTAATTGATACACACCCTAGGTTTGCCTCGTGCACATGAATTGCCAAAACCAAAGAAGCAGGTCTAGGACTACTATTAAGCTCAGAGGACAGACCTTTCTCCGTGATGGGAGGGTTCTGTGGCCAGGGAAAGAGCTTTGGCTCCTGGCTGAGTCAGTGATAATAACAATAATAAAGTTAATTTTTACAGGGTGCTTGCTCTCTGCCAGATACTGTGTGGAGTGCTCAAGAGGCATTATTTAGTTCATCTTCACCAATAAATGCTAATGGCATCCCTATTTTATAAAAGGGGGGCTAGATTGGCATGTGCCTGAGGCCACACAGCTGCTAAGTAATTAAAACTCAGATGGACTCTTATTGGTCTGACTTAAATTGCTGATTTCTGTTAACAGTACGTCTCATATCTTAGTAATATCCCGTCTTGTCACTGAAAACACTGACATGGCATGACCACCCCATTGCTGACAGTCACTTCCTGGAAACGCTGTGTTTATATCTCGGCACTTAGGGACGTGCAGACCCCTTGGTGTAGCTGCAAGGGATCACAGCCCCTGAATGCAGCTGCAGACTCACTCCACCCTGACTCCTCGTTAGTGGGAGTCTGAGAGTTCTACCTGCATTAACTCATTTCATTTTCATTACAACCCTATTATTATTATCACTGTGTAGATTAGGAAACACTCAAGTCCAGAGCAGTTTGAAAGTTGTGAAAGACTGACTACACAAATGAACAATGAAGACCCACAACCTGCACAGCCTTTCCAGGAAACCAATCCTCTGCTCTAGAATAAACAGCCCAGGAAGCCAGCCTGCTATGAGTCAGACTTGTAAGAAGTCTGATAACTATATTTACTAACAGTTCAGGAAGCAAAACAATAACTTCTGTAACTCTCAGCCCCTAATGGCCAGGACTTGACTAATAAGTGACAGTTTCCCTAAATTTTGTCCCCTACATCTTAGGACCAACCTGGGAAAGCCAAACATGCTCTCCTAACCAATCACCTAGATACCCCACTTTTAATTAACAACCTCCTATGAAGGAACACCTGGAGCCTTCCCTTTGTCCCCACAATAGTTTCCCATTCCTCTGCTTGACCTTAGCTCTCCGTGAAAACACAAGTCCCGGTGGCTGACTCTCTTGCTATAGCCAGTTCAGAATACATAGTGTTTGCCTGTTCTCATTTGGTTGATCTTTATTTATCTCCATAGTACCCTAAGATCATATAGCATCTGAGTAGCAGAGTTGGCATTCAAACCCAAGCATTTGGACCCCAGAGCCCCTCTCCCTCTAGTTTGAGAATGTAGAGGCTGTTCAGAGCCTTCAGATTCACTCCCAAACTAGTAACTGTTTCTTCTAAGTCTCTGAAGATGGTTGACTTCCCAGACTAGTCTACCATCTTCTTTATAGTCATCTGGCCTGGGTTCCTCAACTATGGTACTGTTGACATTTGGGTTCGATAGTCCTTTGTTGTGGGGGGCTGTCCTGTGCATGTCTGGCAGCATCCCTGGTCTCTAGCTATTTATATACCAGGAGCTCCTTCCAAGTTATGAAACCAAAACAATCTCCAGATATTGTCTCGGGTGTGTGTGTAGGGATGTGTGTGGGGGGGGGGGGGGGGGGGGGGCAAAACCCCCC